TAAGTATACGATAATACGTTATATTACTTAACTAATTTCTATTACTGTACCTACTTTACGCGTTTGCTGTTTCGGTTCGTGGGACGCCTAAGGCCAGTAGTGTAATGAAATTTGTACCATATAGTTTACTCATAGTTCCGCTGTGTTTGTTCTCATACGGTCTTGTTCGCTTACTTATCCTACACATAATATTATATAGCCGCTATATTTAATATGTATCATGACCAAAGTTTAAATTTTATACGACTAAATCTTACTAGCTAGACAATTAATTAGACAACTAAAGCACTTCATACAAATAATTCAAATCGTGACTATTAAAAAATGTATGTATTTTACCTCATCAGCGTTGAAATTATATTTTTATGTAACATGAAAACAAAATGTCCGTGTATACTTGTTTTTTTTTTTTTTTTGGCTATGGACAGACCAAAATATATTTAAAATGTTAATAAACACGACTTAACAGTTGGTATAGAACTTTTCAAAAATATTGATTAACAAAAGTTTTATTAGAAGATACAATAGCGAAGAGCGGTGATATAGATCCTGCATGACAATAACAAATATAATATAGTGTATAATAAAGAGTATAATATAGAGACGCGTGCTAGCGAAATCTATGAATACGACTATATTTCGACGAGATCCGATATTGTCATCGAGTCGTACCTAACTCGGCCAAAACTTAATTATTAATTCAGATCAATACGTATACTTAACACAAATGAGAATAATATATTAAGTTGTAAATTTATTATTTATACTCTCGTCATCAAATAAGTATTTATATTTTTAACATTTTCAGCTCAGGGCTAATGAGAATTGGTCATTCGTCTAAAAACGATATAATATAATATTAAAATGCACAGTGCATACTTACATAAGCATAATTTTTGCGTTTGATATTATCAAATCCGTTATGGTTAAACCAAGTTTGAAGTAAGCATGTATATAATATAATAACACGTAATATTTACGTACTCAAACTTTAATATAAATTATAATATTATTATATAGTTTTGTTACGTATTACGTATGTACCTATGTAAATACATTATGTTACACGAATCCTTCGCCAGCTACAGTATATTATATAGATTATACAAATTTGAATACTTTCGTAGACTAGTATTTTCAATAGTAAAATATAACTATCACGCGAAGTGCAATATGATGCTGTTATGGATTTGTCTTTATCTCTCAAATCAATACAATTTGAGACACTTTACCGGGATTTATAATGAACAATGCATTTATTTATAACAACAAATTAATTTTCATAACTTTGATGAATTTTGCAAAATTTAAAAAAATTAATGAATTTAATTATCTCACAATGGTTGTGTATTTTTTTTTTTTTTTTTGTGTGTATGCGTCTGAACTCACGTTATGTAACAGAAAAAATGATTTAGTCTTCCATATTGAACGTGATGATATCTGTAATAAAAAAAAAAATGGGATCTGTAAATTCAAAACGATGAATACAACAATCTACAATTATTATTTAATAAAACTAAAATAAGGTTTAAAAATAACTTACTCAGATGGGTTAGAAACAGCATTGGGAAAATATATGTCGTAGGCGGTATACCATCGTTGGTTTTTGACTGACCATCATGATTTAACCAGTTTACTCTATAATGGCTGAATCCTAGCTACCAGGTACACCTAAACACCTTACTCGAATAAACTCGACCATCATCATTATGAATGTTGAACATACCTACGTGTTATAATAACAATAAAATATATTAATACATATTATTGTAATCGTATCTAACGGATAGGTTAAGGTTAGTATAATACTCGTATACGCATTGCACATAAAACGCGTTGGATTAGTGTTTGCATTCGGAACAAATGTAGGTTTTTAATGTATTGTAATATATTATTATAAAAATGCACGGCTATTGTTCTCTACGTCGTGTCTTCGTGTTTTATGTACCCAGTTAATGGGTAACAAAACAAACGATAAAATTAAAAACTATAATTACTATTAGACACCAATAAAAGTGTGTATTATTTTTCCGTCTGCAGTATTGATGCTTTTAAATAATAATAAACGAGTAAAATATTATGTGTAGATACAGTATAACGACAAAGTTTAACGAATCATTAACAATATAGTTAGATGCGATAAGGTTTTATTTGAAATATAATATGTTTGACTTTCAAACCATAAATGTAAATACAGCTATGTTTATGCGCACAATATTTTTATTATGATACTTTAGGCGTGTAACTTGTTTTTCTTAATTTTAACTCAAAATAAAAATATTTTTTCAAATTTTTGTATTACTTATTTAAAAAAATAAAAGGGTTAAATATGATCATATCAATAGTTAAAATACAGACGATTGATTTAACTTAAACATTTTTTGAGAAGATTTGGTATACAAAGCACAGGTTTTCTTAAACATTTAAATAATTCAAAAATGAATAAATAATAATATACGTTTCGATACTTTCAAATCAATTATTGTTTTCGAAAATAAAATTAATCAATTGGAAAAAAATTAATAAATTAGCAACATAACGAATTTCATAAATCGACATTATTGATTATTTGTACGCGGCATGGTTCGAAAACGATGTGAGTCCGAACTTTAAAGGCGATCCACTCCATCATTTGCAAGATAGTACCTACAATAATCGACGCACCCGAACACGCACACAGTACAAGGCACAATGTATGCACTAAGTAGCCATCAATCGTCGTCAAAAATCAAAGATACTTGAAGCGTTAACCATTTGTTGATGTCTTGTACAACTTTACTGCAGGTATATACCGATTATAAGTATATTCTTGAGGCACAATTATATTATAGCATATCTTCTATACTTTACCATTATATATTTTGATGGATTGCTTAAACTATTAAAATTAGTAATTTTAATCTTGAACTAATTTTTCTTGGACATTTATCCAAACTCATTCATATTATCCGATTGCATTAGATAATAATATTATGTTATTATTATTATTATTATTATTATTATATTCGACATTTTAATAATCGAATATAACAGGCATTTATTTTTATTATTGAATTTATTTAAGTTCTGATTTTTGTCACTTTTAAATACACTTGAGTACAATATTTTTAATTATTTAGAGCTTTTATAGTTTTTAAAAATATTCTGTGACGATACTAACTTATTTTTTTCAAATAAAAACCAACCTTTTTTTTACAGAACATTTTTAAACAGATGATTTTTACGCAACTAAATCAATTTTTAACAAAAACTTAGTTTTTAAGTTATTCAAATACATATTCCTGAGATAATTTCCTTTAAAAATGGTTTTACTAAAATAAATATAATATTGGATATAGTATTTATTATATTATATCCAGGTTAGGTTAATCTAGGACAGTATTTTTTACAAATTATAAAAATGTAATACATTTAAATTAATTAATAAAATATTCAAATCATCATAGCACCATATCTTTTAAACCCGTTGTCCTTTGAATAAAAATTTAAATAACTAAAAAACTGCACGATCAAATTTAATTTTAAATACATCAATACATAGGATAATTCTCATTTAAATAAAGAAATTTATATCCTACAGCAGGGATCGGGAATCTACGGCTCCCTAACATGTAGTCTGTGGCCTCTTTGAAAAATGTATCAATATAAATTATATTATACGTTATTATAGTAATAAATGATAATGTTTCTGAATAAAGTAATAATAATACTGTAAACTACGACTAAAAAAAAAAAAAGGTCGTTCAAACCTGTGCAGCTCTCTGGACATCATGATTTAGTGACTTTTTTTAAAAATACCTATTTCCTACGAAAAGGTTCCTGACCCCCGTCCTACAGGATACCCCTAAAATTGTATAAAATATTTGATTATTTTAAAATATTATACTTTTAAGTATACTTAAAAACTGTAAAAAAAGAAATTGGAATAACTTGATTATTAAAAAATAAAATAGAGGTGATTATGTGTAATCAACTAAAATTTGAAGATTTTTTTTATTTTAGAAATTTCTGAAAAAAAAACAATAAATTATAGATTTACAACTATTTAAAACAAAAGCAATGTATTATATTAAAGATGTAAAATTGATAAAAAAAAAAAAAAAAAACATAAAATTTTTAATAAATACAACGGTTCTAGTGATTATTATAGTAATTTTACATACTTAAGTAAAACATTTTGTGAATGAATGTTTTTAAATTTTTCCCAAGAATTTTCGAGATACGTTTGGTTGTTACAAGAACTGACCCGTCGTGACGACTTAATTCTATTAAAATATTAAAGAAAAAAAAGATTACGGTGATGTGTTAATAATTAATATCTAGTCTAGTTTTTAAAGTTTCGATATTCATTTTAATGTTTTCTTAAGACTGTTCATTGGTAATAAAATGAACGGCACAAACATAAAAAATTCAGATAACTCAATTAGTGCCAATAGATAGTCAACATAGATGAAAATGTATGCTCCAACTGAAAAAAATTCCTAATCGTGTTGCTATTGTCAACATGATATTGAACGATATTCCATTTACTTATTAGGTATAAATTACATCTAATTTTATATTGACGTCAAATCATACTCAATATATTACCTACATACAATGTTAAATTATAAATAAATAAAGTGCTGTACCGAATGAACTAATTACATTAAAGCTATAGTAAACATCATGCGTGGTAGGTGCATTATAATAAACCCACATTCCATGACAATGAAATGTAACTTTAAAATAAATTATCGTTATACTCATATGCTTATATAGTTCGAAAAGTTTTGGAAAAACTTATTGTGCTTGTTTATTTTTTTTTTTATTATTATCAAACAATAAGAAACATATAGCATTTTTTTTTACTTTTAAATTATTTGCTGACTTTTACAAACCTATACAGCAAATTATGTTTATTACAAAACTATTATTCTTACCCCACACTTATTTTTATATTTATTACTTTTTCTTTAACTTTTTTTTTATTGATGATTAGAATATTTTTTTGAGTAAAGAAATGAAATTTTAACGAAACTAAATATGTTGTTCTATTATATTCAGTGACGAAACTAATGGATGGGATGATTTGGGTGGATATATCCCCCAGATCTTTTTTTCTACATATTATATTACTAGTTAATAATACAAAAATTATTACTATGAAAATAAAAAAATATATATTTAAATAAACTATGATAAATTATGAGATATAAATGTTTGTTTGTCTTACTCTTTATAGTAGCTTATGACAATTATGAAATATTCATACCGTCACCTACAAAATGGTCTTAGTTAGGTACGCTACTGCCCACTACTACTATCTAACTAATATATTAAAATAGTAATATTTTAAAACATAGAAAACAATAAAATATACACTTATATAAACAGTTTTCACAGATTAAATATTATTGCTGTTGTTAAAAACTCACAACTCACGTGAATACAAGAATATGTAACGTACTAACGTGTTATTAATAATCTATTAAAAATGTATATAGTAAATTGTTTTGGTTTTATAATGAGTTAAGTTATTTTTAACTTATTTTTATACTCAAAAGACATTTAATACAAAACTTAAATATTTATTGTTTTCATAAAACCGATTTGAAATCATTTAAATCAAATATTATTAAATAAACACAAATACCTATCAAAACTTTTACGCAGTATTATTCCAATTAAAAATGTCGAAAACATTATGAGCATGATCCTATATAGCCTGTGATTGGTAAAAATTTACAAATAAAGTAACAGAAACATATATACTCTGTAATATATATATACTGACGAATTTTCAATGCATGGCTTTATATTATTTATTCTCTTAGACAGAAATATTCACATAATATAATGTAATATGTATACGTCTTAAAGCCGCCAATATGTCCTAAAAGAAAAAAAAATGTATCAATTATTTTTTAGTGTAACTATATACAAAATGAGGTGTATACACCATATACGTATAGAGTATATACCTCTAGGGGCTCTAGGAAATTTTAATTTTGGCCTGTAACCTCTACAGCAGAACAAAGACTTTTTCATGGTAAGTAATTGTAGTTCATTCAGATTTAGTTTCTAACATATAAACTGCTACAATGAGACAATTTCTGTAATATAATTTACATTATTTTTAAATATATTTCATAAAAAAAAAAATTGTTTATATCAAGACTTCATTTATTACAAAAACGAGAAATAACGTAAAAAAAAAATATCATAAAATACATATAATTGGTATAATAATGATGTTATGTATGAATAGAACAACGACGGTCATTAAAATTTATGATAAAATTTGTACATTAAACAAAAATAACAACTTACAATGCGACAGTACGATAACGTAATGTGGACAACTATTTTTATAAATGCAAAAACATTTTTATTCAAGAAAAACGCCTTTTATATTATATATAATCTACTATAACTGAAAAAGAAGCAGAGAAGGAATCCCTGCAGTATTCTGCGAATTATACGTGTGTATAATATCGCTAAATAATTAACATATTTAAAAATTTGAAAATTTAAATGAAGCTTAACATATGATTAGTATTAGTATGTACTAAGCATGTATATTATTCGTATATTGTATGCAGCATCCATATTACGTCATTATCCATTTCATTAAATGGACTACGTTTACATATATTTTAAAAAAATAACCTGCACTTCACATGATTACACAGTACTAATAACATTTAGTGAAATTAATATCTAAACATTCTAAACTATTATACATATAATATAACTTTCCCGTCGTA